CACGAACGAGGAGCACCATAGAATTGTCCTCCACATGATTGATGACAGGCGCGAAGCAGCCGCGATTCGAGCTGAAAACTACCAGAGGCAGACCAAGTCATACCACGATAAGCGGGTCCGACCCCGCTATTTCCAAGTAGGTGACTATGTGCTCAGGAGAAGGGAGGCGAGCCAGCCCCAAGCCGGAGGAAAGTTTGCCCCTAATTGGGAGGGCCCGTACATTATAGCAGCCGTGGTCCGCCAGGGCAGCTACAAGCTCAAAACTCCCAAAGGAAAGATGATAGCCAGGGTCGGGAACTCAGAGCACCTGCTCAAATTTTACCAGTAGACCTACCACGTGAGAGGTGGGTCTTGGCGTTGCTATTCTAGGAGGAGGACCATTCCCCTCCCCTAATAATGTCTTAGTGAGCGGCAATAGTCGGAATAAAATCGCATATTACAGAACACATTGTGCGCAGGACCTTTTTTGTTACAAAGCTGGTTCTCATGCATTTTATCTCCCTTAAAAAAAAAAAAACAAGGAAAAAAATCGTGAAACAGGGGGGAACGAGTGCTCACCCATGTCTTCCCTCCCCGCGGACCCTAAGGGGGCATGAGGTCCGGCCTCGCGTACTAACCCCGACGGAGGACGCACCCTAAGGGGGCACGAGGGACGACCTCGCGTACCAACCCCGACGGAAGAGCCCGGTGGCACAGTCCCGTCGGACTGTTCCCGAGCAGCTAACGCGCACCCTAAGGGGGCACGAGGTCTAACCTCGCGTACAAACCCCGACGGAGGAGCCCGGTGGTTTGGTCCGGCAGGACGGGGCCCAAGCGGTTTGGCGCACCCTAAGGGGCACGAGGTCCGACCTCGCGTACAAACCCCGACGGAAGAGCCCGGTGGCGTGGTCCGGAAGGACTTAGCCCGAGAGGCTAACGTACCCTAAGGGGGCACGAGGTCCGGCCTCGCGTACCAACCCCGACGGAAGAACCCGATGACATAGTTTCATAGGACTTTGGTTGACGAGGCTAACAAAAAAAAAAAAAAAGTTCCGTACCTACCTCGGCCAGCTGCCGAGGTCCACCTCGGCGAATTGCCGAGGTCCACTCGGCAACTGCCGAGGCCCACCTCGGCGAGTTGCCGAGGCCCACCTCGGCGAGTTGCCGAGGCCCACCTCGGCTACTGCCGAGGTCCACCTCGGCAACTGCCGAGGTGGCCAAAAAAAAAAAATGTTTCAGAGAGAGGCAATAGCAAGTAAGAGGTGGCACCCATCACCGGGGCAAAGGCGCAACAGTCATAACATCCAAGTGTGACACATAGCAAAAAGGAGAAACAAGTTTGTGCTAACTAAGCAGTCAAAATAACAAGTCTAGTACATCACCAAGGGAGAACAAGGTCGGCTACTTTGAGCTCGGGCCACGTGCGTGAGGAATGCGCGGAGCAAACCGACCCGGGGGGAGAGGAGCAAGGAGGTGGAGCGGCCCAAGACGTCTCACCTCGACCCAAGGCACCTCGCCTCAAGGCACCTCGGCTCAGGACACCTCGGCCCAAGACGCCTTGGCATAAGGCACCTCGGCTAAATTTGAAGCTCGGTATTTTCCACCTAAGGGGCTCGGGTCGGCGCACTGATACTCTCATTCGTTGACTTCCACTCGCAAAGAAGAGAGTGGGGGACTCATGATGAATATATTATACCCACGACCCGACCCGGGGTAGCAACATGGACCCGGAGCACCTTGGTGGACCCCAAGAGCAGCACAGACCCGGGGGACCACGGAGGTGCCCAAGAGCAGCACGGACCCGGGGGACCACGGAGGTGCCCAAGAGCAACACGGACCCGGGGCACCACGGAGGTGCCCAAGAGCAACACGGACCCGGGGCACCATGGAGGTGCCCGAGAGCAACACGGACCCGGGGCACCACGGAGGTGCCCAAGAGCAACATGGACCCGGGGCACCATGGAGGTGCCCGAGAGCAACGCGGACCGGAGCACCATGGAGGTGCCCAAGACCAACACGGACCCGGAGTACCATGGAGGTGCCCCGACCCGAGCCGACCTACGCGGAGCTCGGTCCTACCCGAGCTCGGGACCCGACCCGGTCCGCCCGGGCCCGGTCAAAGTGAGATCTAACCACCCCCCGATTTAGGGGGAGGCGGTTGGGGGGTTAGCTTGTATAAAACCCCCCCTCCTTGTCCTAACAAAGGGCAATTCATTCCACATTATACGATTACTACACACTTTTGTCCTACTGAATCTTTGTAATAGCCAAATACTACGGCAATTAATATAATATACGGTCCACCGCGACCTTTACGACATCGTTCTATATTATTCGTTTATTATTCTTATTATATATTCTTATCCGGGTTTATTGATTCGGGTCCACCCCGGGTTAATTAAATCCATCAGGTCAAAATTGATAATTGATGATCGATTTGGTAATTACAGTATAGTCGATGGACCAAAACGGTCATTAATTCTTTTAATTTTAAGTTAATGCTAGTAGTTGTTCTGATATCACGGTTCATGATCCAATTTTTTGGATCGCGATTTTAATAAACTGAAACCCAAATATTGGTTCTGATTCTGAATTATAACCGGAACCATTCGATTCGATTGTTATAATGTTCGGTTCAATTCAAACAGAACTGTGGTCATTCCTACATATAAGCAATAATTTGTTGGTGAAAAAAATAAATGAAATATTTATTTTAAGAAATTAAGAATACAAATGTTAATTTTATATATCAGGAAAAAAATTGTAATTTTTAAAATAATTGAGGGGTTAATGTGAATATAGGAATAATTTAGAAAGAGAAAGTGACATTCTTTTATATATATATATATATATATATATATATATATATATATATATATATATATATAATGTATTTATTTATTTATACATGGAGACAAATGAAGTGTAACAAAGAGACAAAATGAACAATAATTGCCTGTCATTGTTGAACTTTAAAAGCAAAGATACTCAGTAGTCACTAGTCAGTACTCACCGTCGTCACCGATACGTTTTCGACTGTAGCAATTACAAAATAATATGGACCTGTTCCAGTTGGCCATAATTGCTTTGTAGCCCATTAGTAGGACCATTGACTTAAATGTACATTTTTTCAGATATATTAGTAAAATGTATAGTATTTTGTTTGAAAATTGTACTAACATACAACATAGCAAGAAAACTAGCTCCTGGCGGCTAGGAGTGTACGAACTCCAGTAGAAAATTAATTAATCGATGGAATTGAAGAATTTTGATTAATTATTTTAATCAATATAATTTGATTTGATTAATGATTATGAATTTTACATAATTTCGATTGTTGATTAATTCGATTTGAAATTATCCATTAAACGAATTAATTAAATACTTAACTGAAATTATATATATATATATATATATATATATATATATATATATATATATATATATATATATTATTTATTCTTAAATATTAAACAACAATATTACAGATTCGCGTACAGTTATCCTAATGTTAATTTTTATTTATAATTTTATGAACCTCAAAATTTAGTTATAAATGTTGGTTAATTGGTTAACTGACTGATTAATTGAAAAAAAATTTGATTTGATTACTATTGTAGTAGAAATTTCGGTTCGATTAACAATTAAAAATTTAATTTTTTTTATTAATTCGGTTAAGTTAATCGACCGATTAACCGATTGCACACCGTACTCCTACTTGCGGCGAACAAGAAGAGTGACATTAGTGGTATTGGTTGTTTGAGCATATATTTCGTTTGTTAATAATTTTCAAGAGTGATACTTTTGTTCTTTTTATTCAATAAAAAGTACGGAGTAGTTTATATAATAGGGGTAGATATAAATTTTGATTTTTTCTCCTCTTTATATCAGATAAACATTTCTGATTTTCTTATGAGTTTATTTACTAAATTTCGAGTTCTTATACAAGTCTCTAACTTTAATTTTGTTTACAAATTACAATCCGATCCGACTAGCGCTCACAATGTCTACTAAATTAACTTGACATTGCAAATGTCTGTTTCATATAAACCCCTATCACCAAAACTTATAATAATAATAATAATAATAATAATAATAATAATAATAATAATAATAATAATAATTATTATTATTATTATTATTATTATTATTATTATTATTATTATTATTATTATTATTATTATTATTATTATTATTATGGGAAAATTGCATCTTTAGTCCCTAAGTTATAACCAAGTTTTGACTCAATCCCTAAGTTATGGTCGTATCTGAGTTTAGTCCCTCAGTTATGAGCAAAGTGACGAGTTTGGTCCTTGGTGTTAATATTCTGCTTGATGCTAACGGGAAACTTACAAACATTTTAATAATAGATGGGTAAAATATGAATTTCAAATTATAATCCCTTCTTATGTTGAAACACATTGCGCAACATTTATTTATTTTTCTTCTTATACCTACTATCGAATGTCTTTTCTTCCCCAATCTCTAAAATCTCAAATCATCCACTTCTAAGCTACGAGATTCATAGATAAGTTAAGCATCAAAGATTACAAATAAGGAACCTTGAAAATCATTTTCTTGGGTATAAAAAAAAATAAATCTAGGTTACTTTTTTTTTTTTGATTAATTAATCTTTTTTGATTATTTTGAACAACATTCAATATTTTAATTATACTTTTACATTATTAGGAATGATTTAGGTCATTATTATATTAATATTTTTTTCTATATTTCTATAATGGTACAACGGTAAATGAATTTACAAATATTGTTCATTTATTTTTTTTATCAGACAAAATTATTTATATTACGTTTTTGTCACATCACATGTACACCAAATTAGTCGTTATTTTGGTGTGCCGTGTACTCAACAAATGTATGCAACAGTTTCACCAAAGTACGTCAATAACTCCTTATTATGTCCTTTGCATTATGTTCTGTATTTTTTTTTTTTGTTTTTCATTTTTATTTTCGTTTTGGCTTGCTTCATTCGCAACATACATAATAACATTCAACGTAACAAAAAATAGTGCATACACTCCATCATAATAGCATACCCATACAAGACAATTAAAATATCATAGATATTTTAACATAAGAGTTTTTCTTATATAATACTTATGTTTTCGAGTTAATTTCAATTTTTAGTAGCACTTTCAAATTTAATCATACCTTTTTAATTTGACCACATTGCATCCTTAACTTAATTTTTTAAATAAAATTTAAGTTAAGAACACAATATAGTTAATTAAAATAATAAGATTAAATGTGGAGTGACTAAAAATGAAATCGACCCTACTTGACTGAATCTAAAGATTCCATATAGGCTTAGCTTAAAAGTTCCAAAAGGTCCATATCAATTGGCAGGTTAGTCCAACCGACTTGTCCTTCGTGCATGCACGCGTTTCCTTCATCGTCGTTGAATTCCTTGTCGAAGAGCAAATCCTCCCACCACCGGACTCTGTCGTCCGAGGTTGTTGTTTCTAATTCCGACGGCAAAGTCGCGATTGTGTTGTTTAGTTGAACATTTTCCATTACCAAGTCCGATGTTGTTATTATTGCTTCCGGCGGCTGCGGTAACGTGTGTCCTTGGATTTGAGCATCATAGGTAACGGCGGTAGCTTTTCCGGTCTTTGACGTCGGAGATAATGAGGTGTTTAAGAATCTCCGAGGTCGAGGCCTAACGACGGTGTTTTCCCTGATTTCGGGGGCTTTTCCCTTCCAATTATCTTGCATTCTAGCCATGGCAAATACCTTTTTCTGAATATGGGTGTTCCAGTAATTCTTCACATCGTTCGCTGTTCTTCCTGGGATTCTGCCGGCAATAAGTGACCACCTAAACACATGTAACCATACATACTAGCAGGTTAGGATTAAGGCTAATTAACCCGTGACCTGTGCTCTCGTATCATTAAGGTTACAGGACGCCAAAAGTTATAGATAGTAGCAAAGGTGCAACTTTGTTTTAGCATGTACATGGAGTGCAACATTAGAGCAACATCAATAACTCTAGTTTTTTTTTTTTGTGGTTTTTGTGGTGCCAATTAGGAAATAGAGAGAAGGGCAAGAAAAAAGGGGAAAAAAGGGTAGGCAACAATTTTTTTTTTTTTAAAAACACAAAAAGTTAAAAAATCCGCGCATAGTATTCTTGTACTCCAGCGTAATCATCTGCCTTTGTTTTTCCTATTCTCTCTCCGGGCGGCTCCCACAAAAAAAACCATTAATTGCAGGAGAAAAATCCACCAAAAACCTAGTTTTTTACTGTTTCAAAAATTATATATAAAAAAAAAAAAAACTTATATTGAGAATGCTTTTAGAAAGACAGAATACTGGACTTGACATTTTAACCTCCGCTCAACAGGTGCCGAAATTGACCCTTCAGGCAAACATAGTAGGAATTAATTACAGTATAATCTCATGCACCAGTAACTTGCCTGTTGCCTAAGAGGCGATGGAGGCGCATAATGAGATCAACTTCATCCACACTGAAGTCGCCTCGCTTTATATCAGGACGAAGATAGTTCAACCATCTCAATCTACAACTTTTTCTGCACCTGTTTAACCCTGCAATAATTGTATGTTATGTTTGTATATATTATCACGAAATAATGGAAGTGGTAAATTCATATTATATATAAAGTATGTAACATTATTTAATTATTAATTACCAGCTCTAAGGGGAACTAGATGCCATTTCCCTTCCCCATACTTCTGAATGCACTTCCTCAAAAGATTATCTTCTTCTTCGGTCCATGCACCTTTTCTCATCAATCTCGAAGACGACGGCGGCGGCCATGCAGATGATGAATTAACCATTGCAGAGTTAGTTGGCGGACCAATATGCAGAAGAAAGAGAAGAGAAACCTTAGCTTAAGCGATAGAACACAGCATCTAGCTAGCAAGTTAGCAGAGAACCTATATATAAATACCAGGAAATCAGTGATGATAGATGTAGTCTTCTTCCAATAATTCCACGATGAAGTGATAATGTGATATCTTCTGACGTGCATGTCGTTTAACCACAGGGATGGGATCCTTACATTTTCCTATAATAATATATTTATTCCCTGTATATTAAAACTGGTGAACAAAACCTGTTTGGTTGGCGTGTGTGGCCGTGCACTTTCATTCATTAAAAGAGCTCGGGAGTTTGAACCCCTCTCGAATGGAAAAATTAAACTGACTAGCACTTTGCTCCTTAATTGGGCTGACCCGGTGCGAATGGGGATTAATCTGAATATGATATGGCTTAAAGGTTAGAACATGCTCAAGACACAATCATTATTGTGTAGACCATATCTTGTATACGGTAAAATAATGTACATTCAGTACAAAAAAAGAAAAAAATATCTGACGAGCAGAGGTTTAGCGAACCGAGTCCAGCTTTCTGTTATCGAAACGCAACACAGACTGTGTAATGTAAGTATTATGAAATAAAATTATATCTTCGATACTAGTTATAATTTTTGGTATAGTGAAAAATCCTTGATGTTTTATACTTTTGGATAGCTGTTTTGTGAGCGCTTGTTCTGACAATATTATATAATATTATAATATATTATATTATTTTTGAAAGGATAATATATTATATTATATTCACTAAACGTTAGAAAGTGTTTGTTTGTGAATATATTTTATTGCCTGCTAACATTCCCACGTGTTCTGTTCAGTTCCTTCTATTTTAGGGCTGCTCAAACAGTAAGACCAAAATACTACAAATTTCCACCAAATATGACATCAAACACTCAAAGAGAATACTCTTAGCATATTTTTACACAAAATTTTATTAATCTCCAACTCATTACATCAAAACACTAAATTTTTAGGTCAAATGTCATTCTACACTAAAATAATATGGTTTCTCTAATTTTAAAATTTTTATTAGTTTGAATTTAATTAGTTTAATATAAAATGTAATATTTAATGTAAATAATAATTAATAAATTTTTAGTAACATTTTTTATGTTGTTATTTTTCATTTATATATTTTAAATTTTAATTAATCTATATTCAATATTAGTCTTGTTTTAATCGTCTTGATGAGATCTTTCAAATGTTATAATTTATTTATAATAATATAACATTTATGTTTAAGTATTTAACAAAATCTATAAATACATAAAAACAAATAAAGGATACAAAAGGAATTAACAAATAAAAGCATGTGCAAAACAGGAATAAAAAATGTACCCAGAAAATGGTGTGGATGAACCGTGCTGCTCCATATTTGGTGCAACAATGTTCACGAATGGCAAAAAAATTGCCGATATGGCGATACATTGGAGTTGAAAACCAACATTTATTTTATTTTATTTTATTTTATTTTGCAGATTTGATGTTTTGCCGTCTCGTTGGAGATGTCCTAAAGGCCAAGTCCAAGCATTCTACCATCAAAATATAGTGTTGGAATACAAGTATAAATAAATAATGTTATGCATTTACTATTAGCTATAAGTTTTGTGGTAGCTTTAAGCACTTGATCCTCACAATTGTTATTAGTGTTGTGCAGTTGAGGCCATCAAGAGGGAAATGCTAGGGTTTAGGGTTTAGAGGGTTGAGTTGTTAAGTCATGAATTTTAATGACATTTTAATAAGTTAGCCCGTAATTATTTGAAAAGATTAAACACTAACCCGTTATTTTCGTTAGAGGGTTAACATGTAAAGACTAAACACTAACTCGTTATTTTCGTTACCAGTTTCATGTTGTGTTGATTAGTCATTTTATAAATTGCCATGTCCATCTAAATGGACCGTGCCTTTGAAAAATCTTGAAGTGACCACCGTTCAATTGGGGTGAAAACGTGCACTACATGATGTTGTACGTCATAACATGAAATACAAGCTAAGATGTAAAATGATAAATATATGTATTCTCATAAAGTATAATTCTTGTTATGTATAAAAATTTTATTGGATAATGAAAAGTGATTGAATAAAAAATATTGTCTCACTATTTTTTTTTAATTAATCAAAACATGACATTTCAATCAAGAATAGAAAATAAAGTATAAAGTTAGATTAAATATAGTATTACTCAAAGATTTTGAACGGTGGAGCAACATGAATCTCTTTTTGCATTTGGGTCCAACATGTTAATGATTTATGCTTTGTTTGCTTGTTTATTTAAATAGAGATTGTCTTTTCCGAGATTGTCTTTTGTTTTGTTTTGTTTTGTTTTTTTTTTTTTAAAGTTTAGTTAATGGAGAAAATATAAAATTAAATTTGTATATGCATGTGTGACATTTAGCATGCACTAGTGTGCTGACTACAACATGTTATCTCACTTATATATCTGTAGGAATTAGGAAAAAGGGCCGTTTATGTTTCTCTTAAAAAAGGGCCATTAACTATTCAATTTGACAAATAATTGAACATTTTAAAATAGTTCAAAAATTTATTTTTGCTGTTTATATATATATATATATATATATATATATATATATATATATATATATATATATATATATATATATATATATATATATATATATATATATATATATCTACTATCTACTATACTAATAAGAGCACAAGAGAGTTAGGCCTATAATGGGTAGAAAAAATGGCGGTCAAATTTTTTAATCAAATGAATGGTTCACATTGATTAGATTTTAATTTTTCCTTAAGATTTCCTAATTTATCCTTAATGAATGTGATTTTTCGTTAACTTTTCCGTTAAATATTATCTTTTCCGTTAATTTCTGTTAGTTCACTGTTAACTTACTCATTGATTTTAATAAAAATTTAAAGGTCTTAGGTTCGAACATCATCCCAATCAAAGTTGGCATAATTAGTACTCTATTTTACTCTTATTAAATTAATTAAAAATAATAATTTAGTAGCTACAACAAAAAATAATACATATCATTTTTTAATTTAGAATTATGTGTCTACAATGCCTTTATTCAAAAAAAATTATTCATTATCAATAAATTAAATAAGAGAAATAATTTCATTAGTTATATTGTATTTATTTTTCTCCAATATAAAAATTCTTTATATTCAAATTCATCAATTGATTATATTTGCTACATTGTCCCTACAATGTCTTTATTAAAAAAAATAATTCATTATTAATAAATTAATTAAGAGAAATAATTTTATTAGTTATAATGTCTTTATATTTCTCCAATGTTAACAGAATAAAATAAAAAATAATACCATAAAAATAAAAAAAAGATATAATTAATAAAGTCAATCATATTAACTACTTGAGGGATTTGTTGACAAAGAGACTATTCAAATCATACAACAAATTGAAGTGAGAACAACTTCGCAATATCCTTGTTTGACAATCAGCAGTTAGCGATTAGCGTTAGCGGATTATATTAGCGAATTTGACCAGTGAATTATATCAATGGTTGGTAAAAAGATATTTGAAAAAATTAGTTGTTTAGATTAACATGTAAAATGACCTAAGAGTATGATGATATAATAATAATAATAATAATAATTGTTTTAAAAAAATAAAAAAATAAAAAATATAATTAAGTCAATCATATTAACTACTTGGGAAATTTATTGACAAAAAGAGTATTCAAATCACACAACAAATTGAAGTGGGAAACTATCTCGCAATGTCCTTGTTTGGCAATCAGTAGTTAGCTCTTCAATATTAGTATATACGGAGTATTTAATAATTTATGCCCTAATTTTTATTTTCTCTCCCTTATGTCCTGTATTTGGTTTCAACCATACCTATACAATTATTTTATTGACAACTATAATCAATCTTGACTATATTATCTTGCATTTGTAAACTTAGAATTGCCTATTTAAATACACAAATTTAACATTCAATTATCTATGCATGAACAATTCCAATATAATCTTGCATTGATATACTTTAAAATACTTATTTAAAAAAATATTGGGCATTATCTCAATTGCGCAATGCGCGTAAAAAACTAGTATATATATATATGAAAAAAAAAAAAAGCCAATAACCTTGTGGTCATGGATTCGACCTCTAGTTGGGGCGGTATTGACTCTCTTTATTTCTGCTTCAGTAGATTAAGAAAGTAGTTATAAATAAATACTACATTATAACAGAATCAGTAGTACTTTAAATAGAAATTTACAAAAAAATAAGTCTTCTGTGTTACTGTGTTATACTCTTCAGTCCAGTCCAATCACGCAAATAAATATGTCGAGAATCCGAAAATCAAAGTTGGCAACTTGTCCTATACTAGGAACGACCGAACGACCATATAGTCCACACAATAATTTGCCACTAATGTCCTATCAATTTCTAAACCTATGTTTCTCGTAAGTTTTTGTATTATATTACTAATGGTAAAAAATTACCAAAAATTTTACTAAATACAAAGTGACATTTTACTATTGTTTTATTTAAAAAATATTCATCCTAAATCAACTAATGATAATATGCTACATTAGTTTTGAAAAAAAAAAAAAAACTGCGATGACATTTTTGTAAGTATCACCAACTTTACTATGCAATTTAGAAAACTAAAATTTGCAATGTTACAAAATTTGCGCCTAGGCGCCGCCCGGCCGCGGCGAGGAAGGTCGAAATTGGCCTCCTCCGCGGCCGGCTAGACTGCCTAGGTGGCTGAACCGGCGTTTTTTTGTTTTTTTGTTTTTTTTTTTTTGTTTTTTGTTTTTGGTTGTAAAGTGTCAAAAGTTTGGCAAAGCATAACTTTTGACTCGGATGTCCGTTTTGGACAATTTTTTTTGAAATCGCGTATTGCCCCCTCCAATTTCTCAAAAAATGCTTCGTTTGCTCTTAATTTTAGTTTTTCCTTTTAATGTATTTAGATGGTTTTAACAATATTTTGAACCATTTTACAACTACATATGTAAATAGTTTGTAAAAAAAAAAAAAAAAAAAAAAAACTAGAGGAACCTTATGTTTTAAAAGTCATCCAAA